TTATTTACAAATATAAATATTTTAGTTTTTTTGGGAACCAATATTCTTGACAAGACTAATAATCTTGACAGTCTTAGTTTTAGTATTGTCTTGATAACTAATTAAAAATCTTATCTTGATCTTGTCTTGAAATTCAAGACAAGACAAGACAATATCAAGACTAATCTTGGTATCTCGTGCAATCCTAGCACCGCGTTAAAATTAATCTTGAGAATCCAATGTAAAAAATCATATGATGAAAATCACATCATATCATATATAATTAAGTAGATAAATTGTGAGTGTAAATAATCAGATAAAACTTTGACAGTTTATCGAGAGTTTAAAATAAAAAAATTGTGAAATATTTTTTTTATATGAAAAAAGGAAATTTTATAGAATAATAATCTTTTTATTATTTATACGAGATATATTTAATAATTTAATACTTACATTTGTTTCTAATCAGCGTGATGCTCTCCTTTGTCAAACAAATAAATATTAAAACTGTAGATTAATTATAATTTCCATAGAAATTATAAATTTTCAAACTAAAAACAAATTTAAACGAGGATAAGAAACATTGACATAAATTATCGACTGCATTTATAAAAAAAATAATTAGTCTGTGAATATTTTACTGGAAAAATATAATATTACATTAATTATGATTAACTATGTTCGAAAGCTTGAACAATGTATCTGCAATTTAGTTTCGCCACCGTACGTGATGAAAATTGCAGATCCGAGGTCTGCGTCCTCATAAGTGCTACGTACACAAGGGTCAGAATAATGAGTACACCGGTTATATTTTGTTGTGTAACGTGATATTTTCTTATTATAACATCTGCAAAAAAGACCAGTCGCGTTACATCTACAACTCGTACATATCGCCGTTATGCGTCTCGACACTGGTTACATCATCAATAATGCTTTTATTACTTGTCGTAGTAATATCCTACGCGACAATACAATATGTATGTGTGTGTGTCTATATATATATATATATATATATATATATATATATCTTTGCATTTTATTTATTTATATATATATATTTATATTCATATATTTTCATATTTATATATTTATATATGCATTCATATTTTTGTATATTCTTTATATTTATATTTATATATATTAATTATTTACACGTTTTTTTATACAAAAATGTTCACGACTTTATACATAATATGTATAAGAACGTCATTCGCGCCCCGACGTACGTACATTTGTCGATATAATACATTTTTGAGTTTCGTGAGCAACCGCATCTTCATCGGCGAGAACCTCGAGAGGGATCCACGTCGCGCGAATGCGATATCAAAAAAATTTATGCATACCTAAAAGGATGTTATACTTGAATTTTAATTCTTGGAATAGCGATTTAAATAAATAAAAATAAAAGTTCGATATGTAATATTCTGCATAATTATTTTAGAATATATGTTATTAATCTTGATTATTATTTTAAAAAGTTAGCATAAAATGTTGAATTCTTTTTTTCATTAGGGAAAAGATAATTTATAACACTAGTTGTCCATTAATTGATTTATTTAATTAAAAAAGATTTCTTCGGTATATTCTAGCAATCAGAATTGAAAAATAAAAAACTAAAAAACGAAGACAAATAAATGTGATATTACATATTACTCGGCACTAAATATTTAAGTACTCGATATAATAGTTATCGTCTTTTGTTTCGAATCGATATATTTTTTTGTATCTCGTATTTTTTATTTTTCTAAAATAAAACATGATTTTTTTTAAAAAAGTTGTGCTTAGAATTTTCAGTATCTCTGGATTTCAATAAGAAAAAAGACGGAACTCTCTATATTGAATTATACATGAAGTGTAAAGTTCGGTCATGGAACTCAAAAAACAATAAATTAGTGAAGATAATGTCATATCTATTTCAAGAAAATTATTAAAGTGTACACTAATTTTGGAATACATAAATACTCACACATATTCGCGCGAACAAACCAATTTTGACTGGATCCCGCTCGAGGAAACCCAATCGCAGAATTTCCTGTAAGGAATGACCGCTGCTTAAAAATATTAGAAATATCCCATATACCCTTAAAAAAAAGTGTTCCACTAAGTAACTAGCTCGACATTGCCACATTTTTACTATAACGTAGTATTCAAATATTTCTTCTTAATATCATTAAACAACCCTATACAACGCGCCGAGTTGTGTATACAATATATTGTACAATATTTATAAGATAGAAAAAGCACCGTTTTTCGAAAAATCGGATTTTAATTTTGACATACATATATCACATTATTTTGCGACCTCTCTCTTTTTCTCTCACACGCTCATTCTTTTTTCACTCGCTTATTTTTCCATACGCATAAAACACGCACACGAACGTACACACATTGAAATACACATGCACATCTCGCCGCGCCGTTCGTATATATTCAACTCATAGTTACTTTTATCTTTATTTATTGAAAACTCCAAACGACGCATACACGAACAATATCGAATATTCTTCATATTTTAATAAAAAATATATCTCGATATATCTCGCATCATTGTGTTCCGACTTTAACTCGTTCCATCCCAAACTCAAATATTTCTCGAGTTAAGTCAAGAGGTTCGGAAAAATGTGTGTTTTCTACTTATTCTCATATACGTAGAATAATAAAAAATAATAAGTTTCATAAAATATCTTTGGAAAGATTAAAAAAGAAACATTATCATATATTTATATTAATCATATTACATTAATTTTGCCTCAAAAATTAATAATAGTGGATTTACCGAAAGTATCGCAAGACATAAAAATTCTTTTTTAAAAGTTACATTAATTTAATTACAAAAATAACAAATAATAATATACAATTTATATAATTAAAAAAAAATAAATATATTAATATAAAATAAAATTAATAATTAATAATTTATATTTTTAGGATTCTCTCGAGCCGAAATTTTAATAGCATTTTACATGATGCTATGAGTATAACTTAAATATATTATTCGTACATATTAATTCTATATTTTTACCATTTTCGTTGTACACATTCAACTTAAACAAATTTGTGTCTAATAACGTATTATAAACCGGAGGGGAACGAGTCAAACTGTCGCTCTTTTTTTTTATACAATCCAACAAATCTTCTCGTATCATCTCGTTGAAGTTTTTTTAGCTATCAACAATCACGATTTCATAACTCGACGTGTGACTTTGCAAATAGTAACAATATAAATTTTAGCGCAGTTTACTCGCGATCGGAAGAGGGCCAGTGTTTGCTGTAGATAATTTCAAAATTATCTAGATAAAGAAAGATAAAAATCCGTAATTTATCTTAGATGAGATCAAGATGATTTTGCTTTTACTTAATCTAGGTGAAAGATGAGATATTATTGCGATAATCTAGATAATTATCTAGATATTTTTGTTTATTTTAGAAGACTAAATATTTGTAAAGACTAAATATTTGTAAAAAATGTGATGCAGATTATAAATGGGATATTAAAATCATAAACACATATTCCTTCTCTTTTCCTAAAGAATATTTAAATAATAGTAAAAAGGTATATAAATGATATGACAAATATTTATTTATTAATTTATATTTATAATATATTTATAATATATTAATAATACAATAATAATATATTTATAATATACTAATAATAATAATACAAAAAATATATTTTAGATATTTTAGATAGATTTTTAGAAGCTTGCCCGGAAAACTTCTTTGCATAATGAAAACGTCATCTTAGACAATTTTTAGATAAGACGACATATATTTTTCATCTAAGGTAAAGATAAAGATACTTTGTATTTCTTCATCTAGTTAAAGATGATCCATTTCTTTATCTAGATGATTATCTAGATAATTTTATCTAGATACCAGCAAACACTGAAGAGGGCTCATGTAGACCATCTCGATGCAACAAAATAGCCTCGACTTACCTCTTCGCGGCGTGTTTCCTCTGGAAACCTGGTGGGCATTTTCGCCTCCACCGGGCCCCGAGTATCGATCGGGATTAATTGCAACGCGATGACGCGAATGGCACTGGCATACAGAGACGACTCTCGCACTCTCGAGTTATTTCGTCACGTACACGCTTTTAAGTAACCCAAGGTAAAAATATCATATTTACAAGCTATATAATATTGGCTATTTTCGTGTGTGTATGTGTATGTATGTATATGTGTGATATCGCGCGATATTGTCATTCAAATTGAGCGTCGCGTGTGGGGTCTCGCTGTCGCTCGTTGCTTTCCTCTCTCGAAACTTTCTCCTCGAAGATGATCGCGTTAAAACGAGACGAACGAAATTACCGCCGTAAGCCTAGTACGATATACAAGTAAACATTATCGTCCGCATTAAACGCTACTCGCGCAAAACGCCGCCGCTACAAATGTATCACCGCGAACGCAAAGGTTAATTTATTCCGCACGGATCTCGTAAGTTTCCTTCCTCGTGAATTTCACGCCTTAAAAACGCAAACGCCTAGTTCTTTACATTCTATATATACTTACAATAAACAATTGTTTTCTTTTATATCAATAAAGTCGATTCGCGCTAAAATACCGGGTATGCCGATGAAGCCCGATTCTCCTCGATCCTATCTAAGTACTATAAGTAAGAGAGAGAATTTGTACAATATATTTATCTTTAAATAGAGAGAGATATATGTATAAACTTCGATAACGTACCGTGTACCGTGGCCTTTGCAAGAGTTTCACTTTTAAGAATAAAACGATATGAATCGCTCGAGGAACTCCCAAAGTACAATAAATGGCTTATCACAATAATATAAGAGTGATGGGATTACATCGTGTACACGTATTCAATCGTGAGCGGATATAAAAAGGAAAGGGACGCAAAATATCGAGGAAAGAAAACGAATAATTCTCAATAGCCGACGTCCAAAATCATTTTCGTATATTAAACATTAGTACGCTAATTTAAAAAATAATTTTTTGTCAACTTAATCAATAATAAAATTTCAATAAAAGAGATACATATGGGGGTATAGATAATTTTTAGATTATCACATTTCATTTATTATTAAAATATTAGAATTCTACAAAAACTGTTCAGCGATATCTTTCTCACGAAAAATGAGAATTGTCACTTTAAAGCGCATAATAATCGGGGAAAAGATTGATATAAATAATAAAAAAAAAAAAATCAAATATTTGGAATTCTAAGAAAGACTCCCACGTACATAATTTAAGAATAAAGAAGAACCAAGCAAAACTTGCCTGCTATAATTCTCGAAAGTCACAAAAGAGTTCGACGAAAGCGACGAAAGTGTCGTGGGATCTGCGATGCACGTGCAAGAGTTAGCGTCGTCCCCGACCGAAAGGGATATTTCCGAAAGAATGTTTCACGGGCTACGGGACTTGGAGAGTGCAGCCTCGTAGAAGAGGCGTCAAGACGAATGACTAAGGCCTATGGCATGACTCGACTAATAGCGAGTACTCGACGCGAAGATTGATTCGAGATAGCGATGGGAGATCCGTCAGCTCTCTCTCCCCCCATCGTTGATTATAAATGCTAATTTATGACTTCTTCACGCCACGTTCGTCTCCCTTCTTCCTCCCTCTCTTCCTTCGACTTCATATTCCTTGCTATATAACAAAACACTTATCTATCTATCTATTTCCCCTCTCTTCCTCTATCTTTTCTTTACCTCTTTCGATCTCTCTCTCTCTCTCTCTCTCTCTCTCTCTCTCTCTCTCTGGCTCTCTCTCTCTCTCTCTCACTCGCTCTCTTTCACCCTCTCACTCACGCACACGCGCACGCAACAACTAACAAGCTCCTTACACGTAGAAAATCTCTCCCTCGACCACTTTAGCGAGCACCAAGTTTTAACGCCCAGTGGACGTTCCTGGACGCTGTCGGGCTACTCGGCGCCTCCATGATTCTCTGAATGAGCAACGTCTTTATTACGCCTTTCCTCCGTATTCTTTCCTTCTCACTTTTCCCTACCCGTCTCCGAGACCCCTTATCTCGAGAACAAGACGACATCTCCGTCCGTCTACCCTTCTCTCGCGCATTATTCTACCATCCTCGGTCGAACTTCATTAATGACTGCGCTTAATTCCCCCGAGTGTCTCTCTCTCTTTTTTCTCCTTTCGTGATCCTTCCTTCTTCATTCTTCGTTTCGCGTACAAAAGCCCTTAGTCCTGACTGGATGTCACGATTTCTCACCGAATTAACGAAACGTGAGTACAACAGACACAACGAGAGTTCGCGGTCAAAGTTGGAATATCACGAATACGTAACCGGATTAGTAACGTTTGCGAACCTCGCAGATTTGCAATCTCTTCAATCTCGACCAACGATAGAGTGATCAAAGTCAGGATTCGCAGCGTCGTTCGATCATCTCTACTCGCGCGCGAGTCGGGCCTGTGGATCGTCGAAGGGCGCCGGGACGTCACCGCTCGAGCTGTAATATTATGCGGAAGCTAGCTGCCGCCAGATAGAGTGTCACATTGTAGACGGCATGTAGGGCCAGTTGAAGCTGTTGCCGCTCAGCAGCATGTCCCTGATGAGCGTCTCGATCGGCGTCTTACCTACCAGCCGCACGAAGAAGAGCTGCTCGATCACCTGCGACGAGACCGTCCGCAGGGATGGTAGTCGTAGCAGCAACTTGCCGAACCTCGTCGGCTGATTCGGATACTGGGTCCGGCAGTACTCTTCTAGCGCGCATTGCGACTTCTCCTGGAGAGACTCGATGTGCGCCACGTCTGAAAGACCGCAAGCGTCTGCAAGAAAAAATGAAGAGCAAGGATGTTTAGTTACATTGTATTTATAAGAGAAATTATTATTTTTGATTATCGCACTGAGAAAAATAGTTTGATTACACCAACAAGACGTATATAATTGAAGGCATTTTGGTTAAAAACAAGAATTTCTAGTTATCATGATAAGATATTTTATAGGTTTAATAGATTTTACTATAAGGATTTGGTTAGTATTTTGGTTGAATCTATAAAATTTCTTGTTACATTAACCTTTTTCCTTGTCGTTAGGCAGCGAGCCACCATTAATTTAAAGAAGTTTTATACTTATTTTCAAAATATTGAGAATTTAATGAAAATTGTATAGAATGTCCTTACATATGTTTAGAATCTTCAGTACAATTTTTAAATCGATTAACTAAAGCGTTCAAAAGTTATAAGGATTTTAATTTGCATCGAATTAACTTGTGTTCTTATGGAAAACATATAACCACGTCGATTCAAATAACAAAAACACATGGAAATAATATTCAGAATTTGTTTAAAATTTGCAAAAATTTAGATACAGAGGAAATATTTGATCAAATAATATTATACAAGTACTAACTGGTTAAAAAGATATTAAATATAATTCAATAAAGTTAGCCATGTATCTGTCACAAGGCGAAATTCTCTGCCAAAAGTTAATCATTTCGATTAACACAATTAGGAATATTTCAGTAAAAACGCAATAAATATTAAAAAATACATCTCTGCACTGTAGCTAAGATCAAATCGTAATTCTACACAATTTCTTACTCAAAATACATCAAAAGTGGATATATTCGTCAACATTGATTTTCAGCTATTTTTTTCTGGGATTGTACGTACAAAACATCCTTAACTCATATTCAATATTTGCCATGAAATATAGATAAAGAACTAGTATTAACATTAAATCTAAAGTATATTTTTTTTTCTTATGAGCAGAAGTGTCAGAAAGAGGACGCTAGCTCTCTGATTATGTGTTTGAGCTGCATTTTCTTCTTGCATCATTGTTTATCAGTTTAATTTTTAACAAAGTGAATTTAAAATAATTTCTTCAATAATCTGGATTGAATTTATCCAATAATTTTGTTGGAATTAGAATATTAAACTTTTGAAATTAGATAGAAGAAATTTTAGACGACTTGGTGCACTGAGAAAAATATCCGGTGAAAAGGTAACGAACGGATATTATACCGATCACTTTAATCGGAAAAAAAAGAAACCGGTCAGATATCCAATCAGAAAATATCGATCGATCGGATATCTGATCAGAAAGTTCAAAATTCGGAACTTTCCGATCAGATATCCGATTAAAATGATCGGTAATATCCGTTCGTTACCTTTTCATCGGATATTTTTTTCAGTATAATAAGTTTAGTATTATTAACAAGAAAATTTGATAAATTTAACAAGAAGAAATTAATCGGAATCATCTGGTAATTTCTACAAGAATTCTAGTTCGTCCATTTTCAGACATACTAGTTGAATCTACTAAAATCCTAATTAATGCAACCAGATTTTTTTCTCTGTTCATCAGTCATTAATTTCTAACAAACTGAATTTAAAATAATTTATTCAATAATCTGAATTGAATTTATTCAATAATCCTGTTGGAATTCAGAATATTAAACAGATTTTTGAAATTAGATGGAAAAAATTTTAGACGACTTGGTGCTGGTGAGTTTAGTATTATTAACGAGAAAATTTGGTAAATTTAACAGGAAGAAATTAATCATATTCATCTGGAAATTTCTACAAGAATTCTGATTCGTCCATTTTTCAACAGACATACTAGTTGAATCTACTAGAATTCTAATTAATGCAACGAGATTTTTTCTCAGTGCGGTTAGTAACTTCTAATAATAAGCATCCTCTTCAGCTTCCACGTGATATGATATTAATAAAATATCTTTGATTAATCTTCAATGTTTGATCGTCCAAGAATTATAATTAGATTTATATTTTTTTTATTACGATATATCTTATATTATACTGAACTTGAGATGTTATAAATAAATAGACAAAAACAGAAACATAGCCGTGAGATATTATTGAAAAGAAACTGAAGCAAAAAGATGAATCAAAGTTCTGAAGCAAAATTATTAATGTCGGTGAACATTGAACTAGCCTGCAGGTATATGTCATAAGAAACTTAGCACATTTTCACGTGCCTTGACCTTAATCTCTCGCTCGTGTTCGCGGACGATGGTAGAAAATCTCTGTTTTTCCGCTCCGAACGTTCTCTTCATTTGGCGAGACGCGTTTCTCGATACGCGCGGCAGGCGATAACTGTTGCCGTTTAATCTACGCGCAAAGAAGAAGCGTCTATGCTTTATTATCGGACTAATTATCGTTGTTGCCCATTAGCCAAGGCATGATTAGCGAGCCGGAGAGTTCCTCTCTAGCGATGTAGGATAGAACGGCCTATGAGGGAACGGAAGCAGAGGCGAGAGGATGAGAAAAAAAAAAGAAGAAATTAAACGTAACCTACCGCAAAGATGATGGGCGAACGGACGGAAATCGAGCGGAAGTGTTTTTGCGAAGGCAATCATGAAATGGTGGTTTTTATGCGCTGCATCGAATTTATCTGCATAATCGTGCCTGTCAAGATTGGCTACGTGATTTTACACATTTCTTTAGAATTAAATTCTTCGGCATTATTAACGTTCTAATTAAATAAGTCTAATGAGAAAAAATGTAGGAATATTCTTATTTTGGTCAGCTTCAAGCGCGACTTATTCGATTGTTTATCTTCTATTAGGGAGAATTTAATTAATTATGATCGGCTGGTTGACAAATTCTTAAAATATGATTGTTAGCAATTTTGAATTTTATTATGCGAATAAGAACAATTTAGGGATCAATGTTGACAGATTATCACTTGAATCATACTACAAATTCTAAATTTTGAAAATTAAGGCCCTCATAAAGTTGCAGTAAAATGTCGCCTTTAGGCAAATGAAACGAAAATCCACATTGAAATGCATGTGCCAAGCAGATAGGGAGATAGTGCAAATGTCAGACTAATCACCTGGGCCATCTGCTCTTCGATGCTATTCGTGAAACTGCGCCATTGTTGAAAATTCAGTCTCTTATTCCTACAGAGGGAAAAAGAAATCGTGTGTGTTTGCCCAAGTATATCGGGTGTACAACGAAAATAATACCTCAGTCTAAATCCAATTCTAATCTAGGTAAAATTTCTTAATCTGGATCATGCACTGAGAAAAAACGTTTAATTGTACCAAACAATACGTATATGATTGAAGGCATTTTGGTTAAATCAAACAAGAATTTCTAGTTATCATGATAAGATTTAACTTTTTATAACTAGAACATTTAATAGATTTTACTATAAGGATCTGGTTAATATTTTCCGGTTGAATAAAATATCTTGTTACGCATTAACTTCTTTGTTTGCCTCTAGACGGCGAGTCACTCTTAACTTAATTCGTATTCAATATTTGCCACGAAATATATATAAAGAACTAGTATTAACTAGTATTAAAGGTATATTTTTTTTCTCTTACGAGCAGTAATGTCAGAAAGAGGGCGCTAGCTCTCTGATTGTGTGTGTTTAAGTTGCATCCTCTTCTTGCATCACTGTTTTATCAGTTTAATTTCTAACAAACTAAATTTAAAATAATTTATTCAATAATCTGGATTGAATTTATCCAATAATCTTGTTGGAATTCAGAATATTAAACAGACTTTTAAAATTAGATGGAAAAATTTTAAACGATTTGGTGCTGGTGAGTTTAGTATTATTAACCAGAAAATTTGATAAATTTAACAGAAAGAAATTAATCAGATTCATCTGGTAATTCTTGTAAGAATTTTGGTTCGTTTCATTTTCCAACAGACATATTGGTCGAATCTACCAAAATTCTAATTAATGCAACCAGATTTTTTCTCAGTGCACTGTTTATCAGTTTCATTTCTAACAAACTAAATTTAAAATAATTTATTCAACAATCTGGATTGAATTTATCCAACAATTTTATTCAGATTATTAAACAGACTTTTGAAATTAGATGGAAAAAATTTTAGACGACTTAGTGCTGGTGAGTTTAGTATTATTAACCAGAAAATTTGATAAATTTAACAGAAAGAAATCAGATTCATCTAGTAATTCTTATAAGAATTTTGGTTCGCCCATTTTCCAATAGACATAGTGGTTGAATCTATCAGAATTCTAATTAATGCAATCAGATTTTTTCTCAGTGCACTGTTTATCAGTTTAATTTCTAACAAACTGAATTTAAAAATTTCTTCAATAATGGATTGAATTTATCCAATAATCTTGTTGGAATTCGGAATATTAAACAGACTTTTGAAAATAGATGGAAAAATGTTAAACGATTTAGGCTGGTGAGTTTAATATTATTAACAAGAAAATTTGGTAAATTTGACAGGAAGAAATTAATCAGAATCATCTGATAATTTCTACAAGAATTCTGGTTCGTCCATTTTCCAACAGACATACTAGTTGAATCTCCCAGAATTCTAATTAATGCAACCAGATTTTTTTCTCACTGTGCAATTATCTATAAAAGAAATTCTAAATTACATTGATTAGCAGCTCGAAATGCTCGTCCCACACGTTTCATCATTTGCCTATTTCCGTGAAACGAGTATTGCTAGGACGAATCGAGAGGCGTGTTCACGCGTGAAGAATCGTATCTGTCCACGCGCAAATAAATCGACGGGGTACGACGATGGAAAAGCCAGGCGTGTGCCGAGGGGGTCGGGAATTCTTTTTGCGATCTATACGACTGGAGGAGATACATTGTCGTTTCTCGTTACACAGGATCCTCGACACGGCATGGCACGACACGCGGCGCGTACATAAACGTGTCGCAGACGTCGGATTCCTTTGTGGCGTGGCCCACGTGCGCATAATGGGCTATTACGCGTACGTAGGGAAATAATGCGATTCTCGCATTTGCATTTCCGATGTTTGCGACGACGTCTGCGCGGCGACGATGCGGAAACGATGT